GGTCAGGCAGACATAACGACAAAGGCAGCCAGACTGAAGGTTCATCAGAAAGAGAGAATTCAGAAAATCACGACAACAGCAGAGTGCAGTGAAGGTCACCCTATGGCATAAAGGGCGATTACACTGAGCTGGGTTCTACGGCTGAGTGCAGTGAAGGTCACCCTATGGCACGAAGGGCAATTACACTGAGCTGGGTTGTACAGCAGAGTGCAGTGAAAGTCACCCTATGACATAAAGGGCGATTACACTGAGCTGGGTTCTACGGCTGATGCAGTGAAGGTCACCCTATGGCATAAAGGGGCGATTACACTGAGCTGGGTTCTACGGCAGAGTGCAGTGAAGGTCACCCTATGGCATAAAGGGGTGATTACACTGAGCTGGGTTCTACGAGAGAGAACAGGTTCACATGCCAGGGCAAGCTGGAGCAGAATCAGCGAGAGTGCAGGAATCACCCCCGAGCAGTGCAGCCCCCCCCCACCCCACCAAGTCCTGAGACAACACAGGAAGGTTACTCAGCAACTCCCCTTCAGCAGGGGGGTAAACAACAGGCTCAAAGCAGATCTGAGGGAGGGAGTTAGACCCCCCCCCCGGTACTGCAGGGATTACTCAGCAGCTCATCTGTTGTGACCACTAACTAGGTTAAGCCAACAAACTAAGGGCATTTATTAGTACTGAATACCTCTGGATAAGCCACTTCTCATCACAGATTCACCCTGGAAAATGGCCACATCAATGTCTCTTTGAGGGAGAGACTGTCACTTGCATTCTGTCAAGCCTCGAGCAGTTACGAAACAATTAAACCTAGCAAACGAAAGCTTGCAACTGCAGATGTTTAAATTTTTTGTGAATATGCTGAGCCAAACTGAAACACTACACAAGACTCCATAAAGATATGTGATCTAATAGTTAGGAGAAGTGTATTTGTGATTGAAAGGTTGCTGGTTAATATCCCTGACCAGCAAGGTACCACTGAGGTACCCTGAGCAAGGTACTGCCCCCTGTGTGATAAAAAATAGGTGCCCACTGTTATGTTACAATGTCACACTGTGGTGTGTCAACAATGACAATTAATCACATTCCCCATATGTCTCATTGACAATAAGGCTTCAGCGGCTCCACCATGACATACACAAGCATGACCATTTTCCATCTTCTTCTGCACCCAACCTTCATGCAACATTTCACCTTTAAGTGTGTCCAGAAACGTACCTGTCCAATTTGCGTCTGGATGACAAAATATAAAAGTTCACCTCAGTTACTAGACAGAAAGCTGGTTACTAGACGAGCTCAGAACCACACGCACCAGCATTTCTGGGAGAGGATGAAATAGTGGTTTTGAGTTCATCATAGAAACCATCCCCAGAAATTTCTTTCGAGCCAGGTACCGTCTGTGAGTACTGAAGTCATTATTAAGACGATACTGTGGTTTCGAAAATTCTTATATTTAAGTAAATAAGTCAATATATTTGATGTTCTTTTTTTTTTTACCTTACATATGCTACAGTACAGTCACACAGAGTAAACATTGGGGGTATTACGATAATAATAGAGCTTACCTCAGTACTTTGAAATCTTTGCCCCCCCCCCCCAATTTGGCAAATTAAACCTCAACAATTTCAAAATACTACAATAGCGCTGTTTTTGAAAATACAGGCATTATCTCCCAGTACAGCATGATGGTATGAAAAATGAGATACCGCCCAAGCCCCACACGAGAGCTAGAGGCGAACGGAAAGGCTGAGAAGGTCTGCTTTAGCACGTCTAACAGCGAGCAGGACTACAAGGCGGGAGGAGCTCAGCCCAGGGAGCTCGCAGACGGGGAACGTGATTCATCCAGCGGGCCAGATGCTGGAACATTCAGGAGGAAGGAGACGGAAGATAGTAAGAGAGCAGCCTCCGGCAGGTACACAGGCAGCAGCTGGCTGAGAAGGTCTGGGCCGGACTGAAGCTTCCTGCATGGGAACAGACTGGTTCTCACCGAACACAGGAACTCTCTGCGTCTGACCATCAGGGAGCAAGTGCAGTCATAGCAACAGGACCTCTGTCAAACGCCAATGCCTTCACTGACACGTAAGCGCAAGCAATTTCATACATGGCCAGCCTCATGCTCCACGTTCCTGCATGCATACGCTTGCCCATGTTTACTTTCATGCAGACCAAACCATCGCTTTTCAAGGTGAGGAATGGAGGGATGGTTGGATCATCAGGAATGTCTGTTTCCAGGCAGCTGTGCACTGGTCACACAATCAACGTCGCCAGGTTTACAGCCGGCAGATTAACTTGGGAAAATGAGCTTCACTTTCTGTATTTCATCCGCATTGTGCTCAACTCGCGCTCGGTTCTGATACACTGGACTTCATAAATCACCAGCTCCTACAGTGTAACAGGGGGAAAATATAAGCTTCTGCTCCTGACCAACCTATCCGATCCAAGCCAAAACCAGAACATGCTTTATCTGAGGACACACTGGTCATCAAACTGCATCTGCAGAGACAGACAACAGCACTGCCGAGTACAATGGCCAAAGGAAGGCCTAACATTGGTCTGTTGGGCTTTTTGAAGGCACCTGGCACACAGAGAGAGAACAGTCACCAGGAAGGTCTGCCCAGCGGGCTGGTACCCAGCCGCCGAAAGGCGGGAAACCCAACACCAGAGAACAGGAAGTGACACGTTCCTTTCCTGTGACAAAAGGAGCCCAATAGGAGGACTCTGCAAACTGGGGAACATTTTTTATTCTTCACTTTAACATCTGCGGTCATAGATGTTAGACAATCACTCTGTATTTTACCCCTTTAAAGGAGGGAGAAGGCCTCAAAGCAGCAGGCCAGCTCGATGTGACAGGCCTGTTCCATGTGACAGGCACAGCTCCATGTGACAGGCACAGCTCCATGTGACAGGCACAGCTCCATGTGACAGGATGCGCTCCATGCGCAGGGCTTGCATCATGACGGCCGGCTTCGGCAGGATGAGCGCACATTGCCGGCTGCCAGCCTCCCCCCCCCCTCGCTTTGTGGGTCTGTCGGACGACGTAATGCCTGGAAGGGGCCCCCTTTCACTCGCTTCTGCCCACTGCCCACTGCCCACTGCCGACAGCGATCGGACCCGCATGCCAACGGGGAGAGAGGGGTCACCCACAACAAGGCCTGTCTTTATACACTCCCCATGTAATATACCAACGTAGATAGACAGCAGCATGACAGCCGTGGGGGGGGGGTAGGCGGTCGAAGCCAGTCCTGCCTCGATCTGGCCGGCACACCACTGGTGAGGCCCAAAGCTAAATAAATATGATTGACTCTATTGCAGATCGTTCCTTGGTCCACCAATATTTACTTCTCTCTCACTCTCCCTCTCTCTCTCCCTCACTCTCTCTCTCAATATTCTTCCTACCGTTCATCACTTACTAACGGCTGCAGTGCAGAGGCAGCTAAGAACAGTGAATGATGGCAAAACTGAGAGTAAACACAGTATTAATTACAAACTGCTAAATTAACCTTCTAGACGGGGAGTGGTTATACTTTGCAGCAAAGACAAAATATGAAAAACTGGAGTAAGTTTTTTTATTTATTTATTTATTACGTATATGTGAGCAGTGGTGGCTTAATGGTTAGGGAAGAGCACTTGTAATTGAAAGATTGCTGGTTCAAATCCCCGACCAGCACATCACCACTGAGGTACCCTGAGCAAGGTACCACCTCCCCCACACTGCTCCCCGGGCGCTGAATAAGCTGCCCCCTGCTATGTCACATATGGGTTAAATGCAGAGGATATATTTCGTTGTGGTGTGTAAACAACGATCACTAAATTCTATTCTCAGAATTCATTGTATCAGTAGCTACAATGGATAGGTATCATGCCAAAACAAAAATGGCGATTTAGTCGTGTCTGAGAGCAACATAAAATTGAACATGCCACCACAAGCTGCTATAAATTCTTGTAATTACATATTGGAATCTAGTGCAGACTTTCTTTCCCAGAACAGGCAAGGTCTCCAGTGTTCCATGTTATTCTGATTCAGGTCCAACGCGAGGACCACCAAGATGCTCAGCTGCATCTTAACAGCCAGCATGCAAACGAAAAACCCAACATCTTCCTATGAAAAAGAATGATGTACAGAGGAGAGCTGCAGAACATTCGTGATGAGTAGCAGGGAATAGAGAAGGTTGTCTTGTTTTTTAGATGAACCTGTTGGTTTGAGGTCACACATGTGCCTAGAAATGCTCTGTAGCTTGAGAAACTAATGTCTGGACATCTCTGCAGAACTGACCATTGGAGTCTTGCAATGTTCCATAAAAAAAATCAACCAGGTACCTCCTTCCTTATATAGTGATTTCTCAGGACAGACAGATTCAGGGCGACATCTATTTAATTTATTTCAGTGTGGCAGCAGCTTAACCCTAACCCATTCACAACCTAATCATCGCAGCCAGAATCGGATACCTGCGACATCTCTGACAACAAAACACAGACAAGGAACCGGCGAGGTCCATTAATGTGACCCATAAGAGAATAACAGAGTGATAAGGTAGGTGGAGCTGAAAGACGACCTTAATGAAGGTGACAGGTGACCGGCGGCCGCGACAGGTGCGGATGCAGCACGAGAAGCCACCTTTAAATCAGGACTGGCCACTTTCTTTTTATTTAGCGCACAAAAAGACACAAAACGGTTCGGCCACTTCAGTGATTGTTTCAATCAGAGGTGACGGCAGGCCGCGCAGGTTAGGGCTGCCGATGCCACGACCGAATAATCATGATGATATAACCCAAAAACATTCGGGTGAATCTGCTATACCGTAGGATTTGGAGCGGGTAAATCTGACGGCACGGTCATTCTTAAAAACGCCACACAAACTCTACACCGTGCGATAATTTTGCTTTGCACCGTAATAACCCCAAGCAGACACTCATCGGCAGATTTCTGAATTGTCACGCTTCGGCTCAGCGGACCGACCCCGATACTTCAATGCCAAAGACAGTACACTGATGCAGCTATCCCTATGTACCTATGTCCACGGCGTCCGTGCCCTGGCTGACAGCGATGACAGCGTCCGTCTCGTCGGGCGCCGCGACGCCGGGTAACGGTCTCCGCTCCCCGCCCTTGGAACGACTCGCCGCTGCCTCCCCCGCCGCTTCCATGCGGGATCCCGAACACAGAGCAGGATGGCAAACAAATAATCCGAGCAGAGGCGAACCAAAGGGAGGCGACCGACAATACAGTAGATCAAGAAGACATACGATGAATGAATTGATCTAATACGTTAACTAGAAAACCACGTAGCTCTGCATTGATCGTCTCATCCTCATCGGCGTACGCGCACCGCCGGGGACCTGAAAGTGCGTCTCCTATCGCTACGGCTGCGATGTTTGTGTGCTCTTCTTCGCGCATTTACATAGCAGCTCCATTCAGGCGTGACGGGGGCATGGCCGCCATCTAGTGTCTCGGAGTGTAAAGAGAATATCAGTTGGTGACGTCATGTGATTGAAATAAAAAATGGAGTTAAATGCCAACATTACGCCCGATATTTTGCTGGATTAAAATATTTGCCTATTACATTTTATTAAAGCGTTAATAAATGTATACGATTATTATTATTTAACTATTAATTATTTTTATTGCTCAGCGGATTTTCAAAGCAGTATTTCAAAACATTTGCAAAAAAAAAAAACCTTTAGTATTATTTGTTTAAATGGGTAAATTTGTAGGGATGCAGAACATCAGCTAAACGTCTTAGTTTCGCTTATTGTATGCATTATAAAGATCTTACTATTCCTACTTAATAGTAGTTGTGCAAAACAATGATAACTATAGGTCTGTCATAACAATGTTTAAGTATAGACCTTGAGAAAATCATGATCCATTCATTTATTAACTGCTTAGCTTGGTCATGAGCTGGTGACTTATAGAATCCGGTTTTTCAAAACCGAGTGTGAGATGAGCACACTGAACTGAAAACAGTGCAGATGAAATCAAGAAGTTTCCAAAGTTAATCTGTTGGCTGTAAACCTTGCGATGTTCCTTGCTTGAGTAGTGCTCAGTGCAAGGCTAGGATGCACTTTGGGCAGTATTGGGCGGTATGCTGGTCCATTATGCAGCACATGCACGCACACACCCACACGCACAGTCATGCAATATGGGCAGCTGAGACGACAATTAGCCTCCCTGCATGTCTTTGGACTGTGGGAGGAAACCTGAGCGCTGGGAAGAAAAACCACAGCACATGGTGCCAACAGGCAAACTACACACATGCAAAGCAGAAGTGGGATTCAAACCCACAGCCCCAGAGGGGTGAAGCAGCAGTGCTGCCCACCGAAGCCCAACTTATTAAAGTAATTGATTAACGAAAGAAACTCATGGAATGAAATGCATGTATTCTTAAAATCAGCAATATCTTAATGCAAGGCACCCAATTAAACATAACAGATCTATTGTTTAAGCGAAATTTAAAATATCTTTATGTTGGTGTACATCTGTGATATTGTATCTGTCAAAATGTGTTAACTTAGCCCAGTTTCTAAAATTATTTGATACAAGCATACAATTAGTTTTCTGAACTACATTTGTTCATAATTACTTTTTCAGCAAAACATAACAATGCTATTCCTTTAGTCCAGACAGAAATTCTTTGTTGCAGCTGATAAGTACTTTTCAGGATATTTGTGCATCCTACAAATATATATATATATATATATATATATATATATATATATATATATATATATATATATATATATTTCATGGTACTCTGAGCTTTAAATGTTGCCTGAAGAGGTGATGTGTTTTTGAAGGGCAGTATTGTGGATATTCTTCATCTGGCCATAAATTGTGAATGTACATTGCTGCACCGCCTCATGCATAAATAGCCAACATGGCATTTATATTCAAGACACTAGAGGGCTAACGTCAGCTCTAACTCATTGTGTTATTTTTATTTTTAACAGCTCAGAATTTCCATGGAGTTCTGGCGTCTTTGACGTGATGACACTCCTGTTCAACGGACTGTAATGTTGATGTCGGGCGGCTCCTGTTTCAGCTCCCAGCTGATGGGTGCCTTGCAGAGTTTTGATGTACCACGTCTCCATGGTGAGGACAAGATGGAGGACAGGGAGAACCCAGCAAGGGGGGGTGAGGACCGGCCATGGGGGGCGGGGCTGAGTGCATTTCAGATAATGATTTGGATTTGACAATTCTTGTTAAGAAAAACTGCAGTGACACAGTACTGTTCTACTCATGATTTATTTATTTATGTATAAATTATTGCCAGGTACAAAGCCAAATAAGCAAATAAACAAAGTCAATCATTTGTTGTATAATGTATCGCCTAACTTATTGTATAATCATTACTAAGCAGCTCTGACATTTTCCTTGCGTCCTTTTTCTGACAATGAAATTGCTTGTATCAGTTTACTGATTGTAACAGAAAAACAACAATGCCAGTCTGGCTCGGCTTCAGACCCGGAGACTGTATCAGGAAGCTGGATTTTTGGGTTAACAAGATAACGTGTTGGATTTAAGGTAGTCTGGGCTAAATGTAAGTCAGTTAATGTAAAGTCCACTTAAATATGTTACTATAAATCCAACAAATTATATAGCTAACAAACATCAGTTCATTTCGTGATACAGGCCGCTACTCGGCCCAGTGGAGGCAAATGGGGTGTTAGTACTGGTCGACCTTCAGTGCTGTCCCTACAGTCTACACAAGGGGGTGCTGCAAGAATGCTGTATTGGAGAAACATAGCAGCGATTTGGGGCGACTCAACGAAAGTGCAAAGAGAAGGACACAAGTGGCAAACACTGCCTGCTAAGTAGCCATGTGATAATTTACATTCCGGGAATTACAGGATGAAAGGCAAGGTTCCGGTCTAGACTGGGTTCCAGTCCCTGAATGGGCATATTCATAGGCAATTTAGAGACGCCAATTAATTAATAAACTAACTTCCTGGCAGAACTGAAAGCACTGGATTTGGAAATGAGGTCCAGATTTGAAGATCACTGGTGTACAGTACAGCTGTAAAGTCTGAAAGTGTGCTTTAAATGTGTATGTCACTTAAATAACATACAATTTTATAAACCAGTTAATACACCAAACAGAAAACAACGTGGAACTGTATTTACCCAATACCCCTTTATAGACTTAGTAGTTAATACATTAGCCAACAGAACCCAAACCTTAATATATGACAAAGTAAGAGAGATAAGGCTTCCTGACCCCTGCACCAGGAAACACGCCTGGTGTTGGTTTGCATACCATGTTTATCTGACTTAGACTAAATAGATGTTTGTGCTGAATACACACACTGTCCACTGTATCCCTACAAACAATATGTGTGTTTTTGTTAGGTGATTCTGATAAAATCTTGGGCCAGTGACAACCAAATACCGATGAAGGTATTTTAAAACTGTCTGTAAAAGCCTAACAGATAAGATAGTTTATTGTAAGATAATTTTCATAATTTTGTTCCACAGTTATTATTTCTGTTTATTAACAAAAATGTCACAAAAAAGAAAAGATAAAACATACTGCTGTGGTTGGGGGTCTCAGAACTGCTTATATCCCTAAACACAACCCATACATATATACATGGGGGAAGGCTTGAACCCGGGCTAGCCACTACACTACCAGGCCACCCAGCTGACTAATTCATGATATATGTGAACCCAGTTTCCTCTTGGTTTCATTGTTTCTCTGTTAGTCTAGTGATTGCTTGGAGTAGCTCAGTGGGCTAAACTGTGGTGGGAACTAAGGTGTCTCGGAATATATATATATATATATATACACACACACTGCCAGGCCAAAAAATAGGCACCATTTGAATTTTTCATTGGACCGCCTTTAGCTTTGATTATGGCGCACATTTGTCATGGCATTGTTCCCACAAGCTTACGCAACATCTCACCCTTTATTTTCATCCAGATTTGCATTAATTTCTCACCGAGATCCTGTATTGACAAGCGAGTTGAACCTCCATAAAGCCTCCTTCATCACATCCCAGAGACCTTCAATGAGGTTAAGGTCACAACTCTGTGGTGACCAAGTCACGCGTGAAAATGATTCCTCATGCTCCCTGAACCACTCTTTGACAATTTGAACCCAGTGAATCTTGGCATTCGTGTCCTGGAATATGCCCATGCCAACAGGGAAGAAAAAATCCATTGATGATGGATGGAGATCTAACCTGGCCATTCAGTAGATTCAGGTACTCAGCTGACTTTACTTTATTGCTGCATAACGTTGCAGGACTGTAATAATGATCTAGTCATTGGCTTTTAAGTATTTGCTGATATAAATTCAAATGGCGATGTTTTTTTTTTGCTGGGCAGTGTATATAAATTAGTTTTGCCCAACAACTTGTGAGCGTGTGCCCCATGACGGACCGGCTTCCCACGCTGGGCGTGCCCCATGACGGACCGGCGTCCCACGCTGGGCGTGCCCCATGACGGACCGGCGTCCCACG